GAAAGAAAGTGAAGTCGCTGGCATTAATATTCAGAGATGAATGACTCTGACAACGACTCGGACCAAATCAATTGTTCATCCGGCCGTCATCCCTCCAAGTTCACTCTGCTGATGCCGAATGGGTTACGGTCTTAATATGGTGATAGGCTAGGTATTCTAAATTATGAAATAAAGTAAGGTGATTGTCTCGATATAGACTACACATGAAGTAATATAATGTCTACAAGAGACCTTGAGAAAAGTTTGGTAAATCTGGTGATTAAACTAAGCTGATGGAACACCATCCCCGGATATATATATATATCTGAATACATATTCAACGTGACAAGGAAAAATAATTACAGACACATGCGTTAATCTCATCCGTCATATAATGAAGAACATCATCTAGACATTCTCCACAAACTTCTCTTCCGAAATTGGCCCTTTCGACATACCGTTGCCTCCCTCTGCCCTGGCCAGCAGTGCCGTCAAGCCGACATCGCGTTGTGCTTCACGAAGGAGCTGGGCGTCGCGCTCACCGGTATGACTCTTGAACACCCGGTCCATTTCCTCCAATGACGCGTTCTTGGTCTCAGGGAGGTAGAACTGGACCCAAAAGATGCCGACCAGAAGGAAGACGGCGAAGAAGATATACGTGCCCCATTGCCACGATTTGAGCATGGGCGGTACGAAAAATGCAATGGCAAAGTTGTTCAACCAGTTGCTCGAGGCTCCGATGGAGGCTCCCTTTGCTCGGATCGAGAGAGGGAAGATTTCAGAGACCAGCGTCCATGAGACTGGACCCCAGGTAGCGCCAAAACCAGCGATGTAGACCCAGATCAGTGCTGTAATCGGGTAAGCCAGTGTTGCAAGGATCAGGGGTGACTATGGAGGAACTCTTACCAACTGCAGTCCATCCGGCTGCGACATGAGACGGCCAATCGTGTTGGAACTTGGCAACAATAACGCCAACAATCACCATACTCAAGAACATGACCACCGAACCGACCAGCAACATGGGTTTCCGACCAACCCGGTCAATGATCAGCTATGGAGTATTAGCTAGGCGTCGAGCAAGGGGCAGGAAGAATAGATGACTTACCATAGCTGGTACGGTGCTTACAATGAACACAACTCCAGTGACACCAGTGGCCAGGAGAGCGATTGTTCCGCCAGTCAGTCCGAGACTGACAAAGACGTTGGAAGCATAATAGATAACTGTGCAAAATGTCAGCCTAGGACAGGTAGCAAGAGCTAAGTAAACGTACTGGCATCAATTCCACTCCACTGTTGGAAGAACATCACCAGCCAGGCGGTGCAAACACGCTTGAAGTTGTCCATGGTGGAGAAGCAGTTGGCATACTGCGCCCACTGGTTCTTCAGAATGCCCTTTTCAGCCGTGTTGGGGAAGGCTCTCTTCTCAAACAATGCCTCTGCTTTGATTTCAAGATATTCCATCTGGACAAGGTCATGCTCGACCGGCAATTTCCTCATCCAGGCGAGCGTGGACTGAGCCTCCTGGTCTCGTCCAACTTTGACCAGCCACCGAGGCGAGAAGGGCATAAACCAGATGCCGCAAGCAAGTGCAAAAGCAGGGATCCCTTGAATGATGGAGGGCAGACGCCATGCCAGATCGGATTGTGTTTCACCAGTGCCGCCAATGTAATTGCTGCCGTAGCCCACCCAGAAGGAAATCATGATACCCAGGATGGTTGCAAATTGATAGAAGGAGACCAGGAGACCTCGCATTTCCGGAGCGGCCAGTTCGGCATTGTACAAGGGGCCGACACCGCTGAAAAGACCAACTCCCAGACCGGTAAAGAATCGCCCAGCATACAGGAGAGAGGCCATTCCTGCCGAAGCACCAACGTAGAGATAACTTCCTAGGATGACCCAGCAGCACGCCGCGAACATGGTGTACTTTCTCGAGAAGATCTCTCCAAAGACGCCGGCAGAGAGAGATCCCACGATACCACCCAGCTGAAGAACGGAGGTGAGCCATCCGGTAGCCGCAGAGGAATGAACGACCGATGGGAAGTTTTCCGTAAACCGAGTCATCACTAAGGATTGCCCCAGCACTCCTTGTTGGTAACCATACTCGAAACCACCAAACCTATCCATCGTTAGTCAAAGCAAATTTCACAATATCGCAGCTCGAGGCACTTACGAGGCAAAGAAGGCGATGAACAGAACCTTGGGGTTCTCCCGTAGCGACTGCCACATCGATTTCTTCTCCATTTGGGCCCGATGTTCCGCATAGCCCACTGGCTGGGAGACAGGTGCCTCCAGGTCAGAAGATGAACGACCACTCATATTGGCGTCTGGTCAATAAACCCAAAGATCTCAGGGTGATTATTGTGTGCAAATGAGTCGCCTCAGACAAGGGACGAAAGGATTGACGAGAGGGGGAACATGATTTTTATAACCATTTTCACTTCTCCGAGCGATAATGGACTTTGGGGAAATTTTCCAGTTTCTCCAGAATAAACACTAGGAACAGGCAAAAATCTGGCCACATGAAGATCAGCTCACTCCAGGAATTCCCCAGAGAAATCTCTTGCTTTGGCCCAGTCGGGGTGAGGGAAATGTGGGGATCCCGCACAACGTGGTGCTTTAGGTTGCGAGCCGTAGGCTACGATTTCCTATTTCGGCGCATCGGAGGCCACCGAAAATAAGCCCTATCCGTAAACGGATACCAGAGCCTACCTGCGATGCAAAAGCTTGGCAGATGGCTCCACGCATCCTTGCTCCAAGAGTCACCTTGTGACTTCGAAAATTTATTGACCCCACACCATCCGTCACTAACTTCGGAATTAGAGGCACAGTGCAGTTTTTCTACGTCAATTTCAACATCGGGTTAATGACGCGGTTCTTCCCGTCCCAATGAATTAGGTATTATTTTTTTGTCTTGGAGCCATCTAGAATCTGGGGAAGTTGAGTCATGCATAAGCAGTACTCGTAGCGAGGCACCTCTTTTGAATGGAATGACATGATGCTCAGAAGAGGGAATAAATCAGGCTGAAATAATGCACTGGATAGGTGAAATTATATACATGCTCTCGACCTTTTATACCTTGGCCGAGGATAGAGCAATTAATTTTCTCATCATTGAAAATAACTGTCATTACTAAACGCTCATCCACGGCATCATATTACATAGAAGGACAGACTCATATGGCAGAGAGAATTTCACCTGACTCGTATCCCCATGCTCGCTCAAGATCCCTCAGTCTCCACAAGGCACCCCAGCCAGTGCTGGTTTCGATCTTCTTGAATAGTCTAGCCACCTCGAGATGCTCGCTTCGATGGCTCAACAACTTTCCAGCGATATAGAGTGGCTGGATGGCGTTGATGAGGTTGCCACTGTGAGGGTTCGTCAACGAGATTCCACAAACCCTCCGAGCATGCCAAACGGGGGAAGAGTGCGGGCTTGGAGAAATGAGCGGGGTGTTTGCCGGTTTCATCTGCAGCATCATGATGCAGGCCGTGTGATAGAGCTGGTTGCCTGAGATTGCTGCCCAGTGCGCAAATAGGATCTCAGGGAATATCTGATCGCCGCCAGTCGTCGTAGTCCGAATCGGGAGCATGGCAGGACATCGATGATCATTCCAGAATTGCAGTTCCTCCCAGAGCTGTCTCCATTGTTCGGAAAACGGTCTCGTGTCGTTCTGATCCAACTCGCCCAATTCCAGGAACCGGGATCGCCGGCATGCCAGATTGCACGCCTTCGCGCAGAGATACACTGCCCAGTTCGCATGCCTGTCAGGATTCGAACAGCCGTCCTCGCAAAACAGATTCTTGACCATGATATCTCGCTCTTCTTCCGAGTCGGCGGCCTGCGGGGGGACCCATTTGTGAAGTGGAAGGATGGTGCCTTCTGTTCCCTCCGAGATAATTGCTCCACACAGTTCCATTCGCGCATAGCACCAAAAGACGGCCTGAAGATGACCACCGGAGAAACCATTGACGTTATAGGCGTCGAAGAGAGCCGCGCAGCCCTCGACATGACGTCTCCAGTCTCTAGGGCTGACGGACATCAACTCCAGACACCCCAAGATACAGACAGTTACTAGCACATTTGGATCTTTTGCTTGGAGATATGGGCTCAGCAGCCGAATCGACTGTTGGTAGAGCTCCAGACTATCATACGACTTGTCCAGGCAAGCCTTGCGCTCGGTCTGCCGGGCTGAAAAGGCCAAGATAGCATAGAACAAAGCAGGGGAGCTTTGAGCAAGAACGGGGATATGCACACCAAAATGACTTTGTTCATCGAACTTGTCCAGGTGAGGAGCGCACTCGATGATCCAATTCTTCAGGTAGTGGATCAGCCTGACCTTTGGGATCGAGACCTGTGCGAAATCCAGACTATTCCTCAAAAGCCCCGACGCGGAGTCCTCGATCGGATCCGACGGTCTCGGTGATTGATGCCTCGTGGGAGCATGACTAGCCACTGCTGTGAAGAGTACATCGCGCAGTTCTTCCTGAAGCTGCAGGAATCGCGGGTTTGCTGCGTACTCATCTGAGCTGGAGATTGTCCCAGGAGAGAGGGTCGTTTCTTCCTCGAAATGAGAGGTTGCAGTTTCTGCAGGCCTTGCGCCTGGACCGACAAAGATACTCATTCTGTCTCGTAGAATGCGGCAGATGAATATCCATTCGTTGCGTAGGTCGTCTTCTCCTTAGCAATTGACTGAGCACTATTTGTATATTACCCGCCCAATAGGTCTGCCTTCATGTAAATTTCATTTACATAGCCGAGAACCCTGCAGCTCCTCGGCATGTCCAATGCTGTCGTTTTCCTCTCTGAATTCTTTGATAGAGGCTGACTCTGCTGAATCTGAAATGTCTATGAATACTAGTTCCAGGTTGTTTGGCGCACTACCAATATCCCCCGTCTTCGTGGGAACAGGAAGGGAATGTTGGGGAAAATTAAGACAGGCGGAGACCTGAATATTCCCTTTTGTGGCTAAGTTTGCCATTTTCGGTATGGCGTTATTAGTTCACTGGGAGTCACGTGCTGACTAATACGGGCCTATTTCGCGAAGCACAATTTCCGTATTCCCAATAAATCTCCATGACTGCTTGACCTTGCCCATAAGATTCGCAGCCAATGCGTGGCCTACCGCGTGGCCTACCGCGTGGCTGAGGTTCTGTATCTCGTGCATATGGGTTCCCAACGGGTATATTTTCCCATTGCTGAAATTCTCAGGGAATTGTTCTCGTATCACGGGCAGGTGCCTGTGCCACTCCTCAGCATGTGCCACGAAGAGGTCAACATCGAAATCGTCCAGATTGATGGCGGAATTGCCCTTATGGCGTCCTCGAATCCCGTGACTCAGACTGCCCACATATCGAAGTGGATGGCCATGGTATGAGAACTGTCCTAGCACGGCATCGATATCCTCCTTGATGCTCCTGAACCGATGAGCCCAGATCGCCTCGCCTTGCGTCAATATGTTCTCGCGGGCGTCCACCTGCCGTAGGTCGATCATAGCATTCTGGTAGGCCCACGCGGTGATATTCCAGTTCAGCGTGTCAATATTCTGAAGGAGCCGGACCACCCCTTCGCGGGCCTGTGCGCGCTGCGGCTCTGCAAGTCCAGCAGCCTCGCTGATCCGATGTGGAAATGCGTCTTTGAATAACAAGGTGTATTCTTTCGTTACAGAAACCTGGAAGTCTTCGATCGGGTGTAGTATTTCAGCCTCGAAACGCTGTTGGATGTGTGGGTTTTGTGTATGACTGAAGTATACTTTCAGGTATTCGATGTCGTTATACGATGCTCTGAAAACGTCTTCCAGAGGCAGGATGAGGGGTACTATGGGCGGTACGATTGGAGGATATATAGACGCTGTAGCATTGTCCCTAAGGCTAGTGACCTTGGAGAAGTCATATCGCAGCCAAGGAAGCGATGATGAGGGTGTCGGTCTGCTAAGGATGACGTGGATCAATGTCCATGCTGCTACTAGAGAGCAGAGACCTTTTTTCAATGAGAAACTCATCTATATAGTGGTCAGTGACATTCAGGGTCCAGAGTCAGCAAAGAAGTAGACACCGGCCTAGCTTTTGAGTCAATAAGCCAACCGTACGATGCGCCCTGCTTGAGTTGCAATTTTCAAACTCATCACTGTTATTAGTCAGAATTCCATGTCTGCAGGATATTCATATACCTTCCTGGTCTCATTGATAAGGTACCGATCCGATCATGGCGCGTGACCACCTTGCAGACTGCGTCGACCCCTTGCATGAGGTGGCTTACTCGGGCCAGTCAGAGGATGCCAGGTTATTGTAGGTCCTTTGGCTTCCTAACTTATGCTGTTGCATGAATTGACCTCTCACTAAACAGAAACAACAGAATACTAGGCAAAGGACTTGGGCCTCTTTGAATTCAGGAACGCTGTTAAAAACACAATCTATTACTCGCCGCCTGCAATCGGCCCTATCTTAAATTCACAGGACGACTCTGCTTGTGAGGATGATGGCAGAGAGGTACCCTAAGATTTCACAAGGTGTGCTTATAGGTTAATTCAACGTCGGGTAGGTCGTGGTCTCATATGCGGGAATATTGCTGAACTTGACTTGAATCGCTGAGGGATGAGGCAAGAAAGCGTTGCCCTATGCATGATACAGACTATGAACCTTACTACGAGACGTGCGACGAAATTGGGCATCGGCATGCGAAATGCGATAGAAATTTATATTAACTGGATGCAGGGACATTCAACTATAGTAGGCGGCCCAGACTGAAAAAGATCCAATCAATATCAAAGAGAAGCCCGAAACGATCCAATGGCAAGTCTAACTTCTCCAGTATTTTGCCCACTTACTTTTGCCCTTGACGATGTTGACAAACTCACGCGCAATAATGCGGTCAGTCTGCTCCGATGGATGAAGATCATCATACCACAGGTAGCTATCTCGGACAGCATTAGATGCACAGGGGCTCCCACAGCGGTAGACAGAACTTGTGACGTTGTACGGTGCAGTGCCATTCAAATACTGCGAGGGGTTCGCCCAAATATCAGTCATCTGAGAATGGATCAGCCACAAGGTGCCACAGCCTAGAGGTACTGGCAAATCGACGAATCCTACCAAGGCATGAACATCATAAACAGCAAATCTGCTATGCGGATATCGATCCGCGACAACGACATCATACGGTGTTTGATAGTCATACACAGCATTGACCATGGTCACATACTGGCGCATCTTCTCGCTAGGCCGAGTGATATTGGAGTCGTAAGCAGCTTTATCGGTCCAATACTGCGCGTTAACGGAGCCGCCATTTTGCGGAAGAGCATACAAGGGACTCAAATCTAAAGGCGCCATGTTCATAAGCACAAACACTCGCGCGCCTATCGCGTATAGCCGATCAAGTTGTGCATATAGACAGTCGGTCAAATACGTCAGAGGCATTCCCGCAGGCTGTACTTCGGTGAGAAAGCCTCCGTAGCCGATGTCGTTGGTGCCTATCCAGATGGCGTAGACGGTTTCATCTGGCGGGTTGACCAAGGCGGGCTCTCCGGTTGTATTGCTCACATAGCCATTGTCCGCAAGATAGCTAGGAATCTGATTTTGCTTCACGCCGTTTCGAACAGTGTTTGCGATGACAGCATCGCAAACCGCACCTGACCTGGCGTAGTCGTAGACGTTTGCGCCAGTGTATTGGCGTATGTAACTGGGCCATACACGACCTCCGGTGCTTGTCTTGGCTGACTGTTCGAGATCGTAAGCACCTCCGATTCAATAGAGCTTCGGGGCTGTACCTCAGCTGCAACTGGCGGCTTGTATGATCGGATACCGTTATCGGTGTAGCTATCGCCGAAGACCACGAGAGAAGTAAACTTCTTCAATAGTTCTCGGGAGCGCGGCTGGAGTGGCCCACTGACTGTGGCAGTGGGTGCTAGGGCGAGCACAAGCAGAGTCAAAGCCAACTTCATTTTCGCTGCGTGATCCGTCAATTCAAAATCTAAACCAAAATCTGTTCATCAGCAGGCTAGAACGACCATATATAGGCCTACATCTACGATCATCTAACCTGGTTGGAGGAATCTCAGAAGCCGTCTCAGTCGCAGTCATGCCGCTAACGTCCAAGCATGAGGACTTCATGGTTGGCGGATTATTAGAACCATACTTAACGGTAGGTTATGCAGAAGTGTATGTCTATATGGCTGTTTATTATGCTTCTAGCCAAGTCGCCCGGTTGCGGGGTCACACTGCATTTGTTACATGTACCCCTCTTCGCTCATTCCAGCCGGTGGCGGTGTCCTATAGTACTGGCTTTGGCTAACAAGCGGAGAGACACTAAGACCATCCATAGTAACAAAGGACATAGTCCCCCGATATGGTGAATACCATCAATATGCCCAGAGAGGCTACAATGTCCACAAAGCCGGGATTGCATTGCCCTGTGGTGGGGTCGTCGGGTTGTCGGCATGATTTCAGCCGAGTAAGCTCTTCTTCCGGATTGGTTTTCTCCAAGCTTTCAGTCTCTATCAGTCGGTGGTACCTTGCGGAATGGGAAAGGCATGCTGGAACCGTTCCGGATAAGATCGCAGTTCCCAGCGCCCTTGACAGTGCATTGTTCTGGGTAGAGGACTATGACACGATCCGCTGCAATGGCACTTCTTCACAAGTAGTAGAGGTTTTTTGGTCGATGCATCCCTGAGTATTCAGACCCCAAGTTCAGCCTATGCTCAATGACAGGAAGTTTCGAGAACGTCCTAACAGATGGTGCTCGGCATTTCATCAAGCGCGTAGATCTACACATCATCAGTGCCAAAGACTTGAAGACCACCTTTAAGTAAAATGTAGAGTTGCATATCCATTGGAACTGTTGTATTGGAAGTTTCATGGTCTGCATATCATACAGAGGATTCGCTGCATTGAATATCTGCTAATGATTAACGACAAAATGTACAATGGAGCTTGGGCAACCGGTCATTGAGATGAAACGAGGTTGGGCGGGTAATATATGAGGTTGGGCAAAAAGGACGAACTGAAAAGGAGACCCCTCGCAGTGTTATGGCAAGACAATGGCGCATCATCCCTGATATAGTTTCAGAGATGAAACTTTCTTTTTCTTGGAACGCTCATGGAGAATGCTCAGAGAGCTATGGCGCCAGCTCCTGAGGCTCACTGTATCGGTTCTTTGCTCTTACTGTCAATGGCGCGTATGGATCTGAGTTCATCGGCATCAATGAGGGCATCGAATTCAAAAGCTGTTGTCGCTTTCTCCGCTCATAGGCACCCCATATCAGCGAAATGAGAGATACAACTCCCAGGGAAACTCCGACGCCTACACCAACGGCGAGCGTTTTCGAGTCACCACTTCCCTGATCGGATATGTTTGTATTGGCGTTGCTGGCACTGTTTGTTGGACAGCTGGAAGGAGAAGTGGAAGAAGTGCCAGTGCTGGAAGCGGTGGTGCTGGAAGCGGCCACTATGCTCGTCGCCATAGTGGGTTCAGCAGAGGAGGAAGTATTCGCCAGGACAGCTTTGTTGGGGATTATACTGCCAAGGGGAATCTGAATCGGTGCCTGGCTGTTCGCGCAGCCTATGCTGTTGGATGAATTGGCGACAATGGAGTTTGGGCAATACAGGGCATTGCCCCCAACATTACTGTAAAGAACAATAGAGCATCCAGAGTTTCGAGTATTTGGTACTATACAGTTGGGATGTTAGGTATGTTATGATTCTGGTGGAATGTGACTCTGCCAGCTCTTATACGCACCTCCAGAACACTTATCATCACATGCTGATGAGAGAGACCATTTACTGTCGGTGCAGGCTCCGCGATAAAGTGTGTATGGCTGAGATGCCCCCATACAGTACCCATTTGTTAGACAGACAGAGTCAGTTTTACAACATGGTGACCCACTGCTTCCAGAAAAGCATGGAGTATACCCATCAGCAAAGCTTCCGTCAGGGTAATAACAGCTCTGGGCTCGACAGAGGCCCACGAGTAGAAAGATGTACAAGAAAGGTTGCCAAGACATTGAAAAAAGTGCCGAAACTGCTGTAGGTTCAAATATACATGGAGGAGAGAAAACCGTGAGGAATAAGTAGAGTAGGACGGTGCCGGAAAGTTATTTAGAAGAGGCAAGGGGTTAGCCTAAATGCTAATATCAAGGAAGCGCCAGGGCTCTCTGACAACCAAGCAATAGCATTACTAGTTTGATCATGGTTTGATCACTGGGATGTTCTACCATCTCTGCTTTAGCTGGCTGAAACCCGCCGTTGTCTTTAGTCCTTGTAGATGGCAGCCTAGCCATGCACCTGGACGGAGAGGGCGGCATGCATACACTAAAGATGTATGTTGACTGCGCCGCAAATTCATAGATCACAATTTCAGTGACCATAGTTCATAGCCCAAATATCATAATGGGTCAGGTGGGTCACATGAAGGATTATGGCGCCTTCGCGCCATACAAGCTATCGTGGATCAAGAGTACTAAGAGCTCATGTGGGTTACAGAGTGCAAGATATCCAGCCAGTGTTCCCTGGTAACATCTTCCTTTTCAGTACTCCAAGGCGATTCAGACAATCTTGTTTTACAATCCATTGTTGATCATTATCTCAAATTTAGATAGTAAATACCTGAGTTGGTAGCAATATTTGAATTTTCCTGCTGCGCCTGCCACACCCTGGCCAAATCTGTCCTGGAACGACATGGTCAAATACTAGCAATGCAACCTCGAATTTGAGAAGAGGTTAATGTACGGGGAATTTACGGAGTAATAATTAGTAATTGTTAGCGACTTTTATTGTTCTCATTCGCCAGGTATGATGTACTTTGGGCCCTTACAACAGTGGCTTGTTTCTTGAATTCTGATTTGGTTCAAGCCATTGCTGTTACCCGCATCAATTGGGAGATCACAGTGTCGGGGCGCTTGTGCCCCTTTTTTTTAGCAAGAAATCACCTACAAGCTAAGGGTGTAGCCGGTGAAACTGGCAAATAGAATTCAATCGTTTGGCATATGGATCTGCGACTGCGTTGCTAATAGGTCGAATAACAAGGTAATCTTACCATAAACAGTTTAGCTACTTGTTAGGGTGGTGGCTGGACCCTGTCAAAATCAATGAACATGGAGAATTGCCTGGGTAATGGTATTACTATTTTTACTCACGTGCTTTATCACCACGAGGATACCTCACGTTCTGCACCCCCGTCGTCGAGTAATATCACTTCAATTCTCGCCCTCCCAGTATTTAAACTAGGTAGGCGCTTAAGAGAAGTTTGCAGCCCTTCTTGTTTGAAAATAAAGCGATCCCACCTTTGTACGTGACAACTGCGACACGCCGAGGATTGGACCCTCCACAAAACCCTGGCCGTCGTCGAATGATGCAAATAAGCCAGGATATTGTGGACCTTTGGTCAATACCAATCTCCGCTAGCGCCGAGGCATTTAAACCCGTCCTATGATTTTCGAATCAGATCCGATGTACTTATCTAACCCCTGGCTAGTCTGCTCCGTAATATCGGCCGCATGCGATTTTTTAACGAGTGGCAAGCTGGGCTCGTACTTAGCCTCGCCGACGCCAGGTCCTAGATTCCGTCTCTTTCTTGTGACCCAAGTCACCCAACATCTCCTCAGACCACCCCCTCGGCCGCCTCTTTCATCATGGAATTTTGTTGATTCTTCTTCATTACCGCCCAAATCTTGTCTGACCCTTTGTATGTATTTAAATATCCAAGCTAGCAGAAAGAAAGTTTGTCCAAAGACTCTAAGCTTACCGGTGACGTCCAGCGGATGAGCTTTTTTCGTCCCTTTTGGCTCGGTCTCACCCGAGAGCTTAGCTAGTCGTGGGTTCACTGGCTGATCCTTACGCCAAGGTCCCGAGGCGCTTTTTCTGCTCTCGAGATATTGGCCTGCATCGACAAAGTTATTGTTAACTATTCCACATTTCGAACAGCGACTCGGTTTTTCAGTTTCCCCTTCGTCTCGATCGAATGCTGTTATCGTGAAACCAGCTCATCAGGATGGCTGTTCGACGGGCTCGCGAAAGGACATTCCTCCTGACGCTTTTCTTCATTTTGTTCATGACGGTCTCTTCTTTAAAACTTGGGTATAGCTTGGGGAATGTGAGTCTCCTGACCCTATACCGCAATATATCAGAGAAGAAGTTGCGCTAAATTGAGCTGTGCAGATTGAGGACATCCTCGCGCGAATGGAAAAGCAACCAAGGTAGGCACTCTACGGATCAATCCGAAAGGCTGATGCAGGACTGATTATGATGATGTCGGCGGGTCCAGCGTATTTGCAAACTTCGTTTCTACTGTGCAGCGGATCCGATCCCCGAAGAATTACAAGAATCCCAAAGTCGTGGATGATCCTCGATTTGAAGGATCGACCGGCAAGGATACTCCGAAGATATATCGCCCTTATCCAGACTATGATAGCTTGACATGGCAAAGCAAACACCGTGCGCCCTTTGTTGCTTGCCTTGGAGCGAGAAACAAGCTACTGAACGAGAGTTTGGATGACCAGGTTGGTGTCTACGTTGGCACCCCTCAAGGTATAGCTCTCTCCCACGCCAATCATCTTGATGTGATTTAACTCCTTCGCTAGGATTTCCACACCCTATGTTCGGCTCCTACGATGCTGTTGGACTTGATGGACAGGTTTCGTTCGACCGGTATACGCGGTACGGTGCCTATGGGTTCGGAGAGGATGAAGAGTCTGTGCCACATTGGATAAAACCAGCCAAGGTGAACTGGAATCAGATCAGATGGGGCGAACTGCAGAAGCAATGTGTCGAACGAAACGCAAACAGATTCACGAAGGAAGCTGCTACCCACGCAGGCTCCGAGATCCCGCACCCGGACCTTCCAGCTGAGGAGCGCAGCGCTGTCCTCATTCGCACATATATCGGGAAAGAATATTCTGAAAATGACTTGCAAGTTATCCGCTCGATGGTCACGGAACTTGCTCTTCAGACTGGTGGTGAATATGAAGTTGTTTTGCTACTTCATGTGAAAGATGAGAGCCTGGACATCAAACAAGAAGAGGTGTATCGAAGGGTTCTCAAAGAGAATGTTCCCCAGGAGTTCTGGGATATGACAGTCCTGTGGAACACCCCTTTGGTGGCCGAACGTTACAAAGATCTTGATACCAATGTCATCGAGTATGTCATGGCCTTGCTCAGCCTCCAGTTCGCTCATACTAACATTGTCTAGTGTTCACCATGCGCAGTGGCTTCCCGTTCAGTGGTTCATGCGGGAGCATCCTGAATTCGAACATTTCTGGAACTGGGAGATCGACACACGTTTTACGGGTCACCATTATGAGTATGTGGACAAGATTACAGCCTTTGCTCGCAGGCAACCACGCCGCGGATTATGGGATCGCAATGCTAGGTTCTACATTCCCCAAGTCCACGGTGATTACGAGACCGACTACCGAGACTACGTGAATCGAAGTGAACCCGAAGGAGTATGGGGCCCAGCGGCAGTGGCTGGTCCAGGTCTCAAGATCCAAGTATATGGACCCTCGACACCGACTCTATTTCCGAGAGACGATAACTTCGAATGGGGGGCTGGCGAAGAGGCTGATTTTATTTGCTTCCTTCCCATATTCCATCCCATTGGTACCCAATGGGTGATTCGGAATGAAGTGTACGGCTACGAGCAGGGACGAGAGCTCCCACGACGGGCTTGTTTGATCACACACTCGAGGATTTCCCGTCGCTTGCTCACAGCCCTGGATGAAGAGAACCTTGCAGGTCGGCACATGGGCTCGGAACTATTCCCAGTATCAACAGCCCTCTACCATGGCCTGAAGGCCGTAAGCGCTCCTCATCCAATCTTTTCCGAGCGGCCCTTTCCTCCACAGGATGTCGATTTCATATTCAATTCGGGCGTCAATGGCAGAACGGGAAGCACGAGATTTAGCCCATTCTCCTGGGGCCGAGAGATTCCATTCCGTGATACGTCATGGTATTACCGCGCGAATCTTGCTGGCCGGCTCTACTGGAATTTCCTTGGATGGGACAAGGGAGGGACTGGAGGAAAGGAGGTACGCATGTCCATCCTTCATACTCAAATACCGTCACGAGACCCACCAGGCTAATCAGCGTCTTCTTCTAGTATGAGCACCGCCATGGGCGCGTCTGTCTTCCGTCCATCCTTTTCCACCCAGTCAAAGACGTTCGCCCAGACGCCGACAGTATGAATTATAAATTCGACTCTGAGTTGGGATTTGTCCCTATTGACTAGCTCCCAACTCATTTTCCAGTCCTTGATTTTCCTACATATATACCCTTCCGCTTCCATATTCTTTTGGCTGGGCCTTGCTCATCTGTCGATTTGCGTACATAGGGCATTATTCCCGTATATAGAGTGTATGTTATTTATGCTTAATAATGATCCCTGGATTACCCACTGTTGTAGTAGTTGATTGCCAAAAAGCCTTGTCATGCTGCCTTTTCATCCAGTTGGTCATTGAATCGGAGAGACAGATCAAGTCCCTCAAGTATATTCAACTCTACGATTAAATCGCGACAACAACTGCCCCGGGTTTGTCCAGAGTCTGTTCTTGAGAATCGTGGAGTCAAGCAGCTAGACACCTAGACCCAGATGGTATATGGATAAATATATTCTTGATGCATGTCCCCCGACGGTTTGAATTGCATCTTGTCAGTATCCGTTGACTCTGTGTTGATATAGATTATGTCGTGTTTGTTCGGAAAGCCATTAAACTGCGTTGACGTCGCCATGGTATATGCTGCTGCCCGTCAGTAGTCCTTCAGCCCATAAATGTCATGATGGAGGCTCACCACCCATATTACTATACTTCAGCCAGTCCCCCACGCGGACTTCTGACTCCAATGTAGTTTCTCGTACAACACAATCGACACTATCACAGGTAGGACCCCAAATTGAGTACCGATGCGGTCCACGCGCACGCTTTGAGTCCCCGAGGCGGTACGGTGAACCGCAGGGGATCAATGACGGGTGCGCCACTTCTTTCTCAAGAAGAACATTCATAAAGCTCCCGTACACGCCGTCGTTCTGATAAAGCATTTCTGGGCGTCCCTGAGCGGCCTCAGCGATGTGGCATCGGCGGGATAGAACATTGCAGGCAAGGGTATAGGCGCTTCGAGCATAGTAGCGCCCTGGCTCTGCAATAATACGTGTCCTAGACGGAAAGACTTCCACGAGGGCGCCTCGTATAGACTGTGCAATTTTTTCAAAGCTGCTATCCTGGTAGCCGCCGCCAATATCTAGGAGGTTCATATCGTAGCCCAGGCCTTTCCCCAGCTCAAACACCATTTTGGCATGTCCAATGGCACTCACATATGCCGAAGCGTTTGACGCTCCCGTACCTTTACTTCACATCAATGCTATGAAGTGAAGAAGTGTCACTGGAAAACCTACCGACGTGAAAGCTTACCCCGCAAACCTCCAAGCCCAGTTCTCGCGCACGTTGCATCAGAATGAATGAAGTCTCGACAGGGGCGCCGAATTTCTCGCCCAGCTTGATGAGAGCATCATTGTCGCAGGCATAGATCCGCAGCACAAGCCGTGCATTGGGAAGAAACGCTCGAATAGTCTCCAATTCGTCCAGATTATCAAAGATTGTCAAAGTTACTCCCGTCCTGGCCGCGAAGAGGAGCGACGAGGCTGACTTGCACGGATTGGCAAATATGATGCGTGATGGATCGACCCCAAGATTGAGGACAACTCTTAGTTCCTCGGTCGACGCGCAGTCAAAACCAGTGCCGAGTTCAGCGAGCAGTCGGAGCAGCGTAGGGTCCGGGTTGCATTTCACCGCTGGGCATCTATCGTCAGTATTGGCTCTAGTACCACAACACGTAGTAGATTTGACGTACGCACCATAGAACGGATGAACATTGGGTAAATTCACTCTCCAGCGGCGGTGCTGACGAATGACCTGCCCTAGATCTGCGACAAAAAAAGGTTCGTCTGTGATGCCCCATTCGCGATTGCTCATACTCAATAGACGAGTCTGGATCGTCAAATCAATCAGACAACCCATTGTTCCCGTCCTTCTTTCCCTAGGCCGATCTGAAGTGAGAAGACTGTGCATAGGAGCGGCAGACATTGTTTTTAAATTGTCATTGTCTCATCGAACTGAGCGCCGCAAAAAGTTCTACGTTGGCAACACAATTCAGTGCTCGGCATCCTCGACACGGGCTGGTGTTATACGTGTCAATTGGAATGGAAGCCGTCTCTTATTCATACCAACGGATGCAGCCAGGCACGTCAAAGTGTCAATGGCAAAAGTCACATTCCGCAGCGGATCGATCTGGCATTTGGAATGAACAGTCACGTATAATGCGCGTGGAAAGACAGCCAGATATTATTTTCTAGTCAAATAAGTCGATAACGTGAGGGAGTGGCTATGCAGATCTCGTACAAACTTACTAGCATAAACCCATAAAGGGTATTTGGATGATCCATCAAGCGCTCTGTGGATTGCGAGTAGTTCACTTGTATAAGATAGGGGGAAACTATTATCGTACCCAAGGATCTGCATATTTACCACCATGTCCATTGATACTGATAATGTGATTGGCTAGAACCTTGCATGAGGAATACAATAGTGTGGTTTGTCGGCTGACGAAAGCAATATACGAGGGGTGAGGATCACAGTACGGTTTCGTTCACTCTACTGCGCCGGCTTGACTTACGAGTGTCTAATGACTAAAACGGGATACGGGAAGATATCATACTCCTCCTGTGTTTTTCAAACCATAATCGCCTTTGGACTTCAATAGACCGACCGTCGCTACCATCCCCCTCTCGTTTGCCTTGGCCGTGGGATATGACTCAGACGCAGACTCCATGGGGAATAGTTCTAGTTATGATTCACGAAATCTGTTCGTACATCTTTAACTCAGCTGTGTGAGAAGCCATACTTTTCGCTGACAGGATGAATCGCCTAAAGCTGATACTCAAATGACCAGTCTCTCTGTCGAAGTCTTATCCGACGACACTGGACAACAATCTCCCTTCGAACTGTCACTCCATTGGAGGCATCCTGCAGGCCACTGCTGCGGCGTCTCTGATGTGCTCTACTACTGGCCCTTTTCCACTCATCACCCGTATGCTGGACCGCCTCCTCCCCTGCAGAGACGGACATGACCACCGCTCCCTTCCTTTGTGTATGCGGTTGCGAATCCAGTTCCAGGCCGGGGTGGCTACTCTTGGACCGACTGTTGGACCAGTAAGCACCACTTTGTCCTTTATCTGTGGACACCATCGACACAAAGAGACGGATCATCGGCGCGAACGTGGCGAGGAGGATGCTGTAATTCTCTATCCTTTGGGACGTCAGACCATGTTGCCCTGGAAGAATATGTAGTATACTTACTTGACCCATAGAATAAAGGGGACAGTGTTATCTGTGGGATGTTAGAGTTGCCTTCGATAATATGCCGGTAATAACTCACGTGTAATGTCATTCCGCTCACCCAGGGTCTTGAGTAGCTGTACTCCGTTCAGTAAGCTATAGCAGCGGTCCTTGGCGACTTATTGCATACATATGTCTTCACAATAGAGGCAATCCCTGATTGTAGCAACGGCCCGCTGAGGCTAGCAGTCTGCCAGAGACGACGGAGGAGCGCTTGTCGTGACATTCGCCGAATGCGACTGAATAGTGGCTTGTGCTGCGATGGAGCCGAGTCCGTTGCCATTATGGTATAACGCCACAGTTGCACCGCTGAGAGTGCCGTCAAAAAGAAATCGATGGTCGTGTTGAATCCTGGTGACCTATTAGTACGGTGTACAGAAGTACCGAAGTATGTAGCTGGAGGTCATACCACCCTGAACGAATCCTATCGTTGTTTGTACTTGTGGTGATTGGCAGACCACGGAGCTATCGGCTGGTAGGTTATCCCACATGTAGTGGAAATAGCTGACTCGATTAGACTATTAAAGATATACCGGTCAACTACCTTCAGGAATAGGATTTTCAGGGAGGGGGAAATCGCATACCGCATGGTAGGGATTGGGCCCGCACTGCACGATAATCTGAACCGCAGTCACCGAGTTCACCACGACCTGTATTGCCATACACACGAGGATGGATACGCGAATATGCTTATCAACGCTGCTAAAGCACGTGTAGAGAAAACACATCATGCCGGAGCGACTGAGCATGGAGGCAGTGACAGCTGCAAGACAGACCATGAGCGTCGGCATCAATTGAAAAGGAAAGCCACTCACCCAGAGGCTGGGAAATGAGCTCGTTCTTCAACGTGTGGTTTCTTTCCGCATCCGACAGGAACCACATGTGCCTTCCGAGACCATTTTCAAAGCTTGTCAAGGTGTCAGAAGGAAGCCGAATCAGTTTCCAGGTCAGAACGCCCACCTGCGCTGAATAAAGACCATGTGCGCGATATCAAACGCATATGCAGTGCCGTACAGAATATCCTCCAAACCCCATACTCTTTCGGGGGAACTGACACGAGGCAGCATCCATCGAATCCATGTCTTATTGATATACCGGAAGGCCAACGCTAGTCCTGCGACTCCCGTCAAAGCCTGCAGCACGATTCTGTGAATTTTCTCCACCGTTGCGCAGGGAACGAGAGTAGCAACCAACCCATGCTGCAAAGATATACGGACCAGCTGTTTGGAGAATTGGCTTGTGTCAGTGGCGCGTTTACAACTCGCTCTGTGCTTTCGCGACCAAGAGCGAACGGGTAGAGACTCACCGTAGTTGATATCATTTCTTAATGCTGTGGACATTTTATGACCAAGGCTGAGCAGTGCTTTGAGCAGAGCTATTTGCAGGGCAACTGGAGGAACGCATGCTTCCAGAAAATTGATAAATATTTCCGTAGGATGCTAAATTTCAGAGAACTCCGGACTAGGATATTTGGCTGAGCAAATTCCGAACAAGGAAGAAGGTTAATGGGGATCAAGCATATAGTGAACCCCTATACTTGGCTTCAGCCATTATCAAGACACGAGGACGGTCAAAGAGGTCATTTTGACACGTTGTGTTGGAACTCCAAGTCAACACACGTACTCGTCACCAAGTTACTCCTGACTAGCACTGGTGATTACCCCTGGTTCGCGCCAATCCATATGCACAGCTCATCAAGGCAAAGCGTTAGGGAGATAACATCGTACTATACAGCAGGGATGATTGAGCAGCAACAACCAAAATCAGGCAATAGAGACGGAACATTGAGAAGGAATTTGTTCCGGTGAGTAGCCCAGTCGAATCTATTCGGGCTCATGCGATGAAATTGACTGATGCCCGTAAGATAGCCAATGAGAGGACGGTAAATATCAAGGGAGCAAGGCTCGAGGCAGATACTTGGAAACCGCCTTGACAGTAACTACTTGTAGGATCAATAGGCACACAGCATCCTAATTGGTACATGGCATCCACTCGTGTGCATGTCAACGAATCTGTGCCAGTAGTGGAATTAAACTACAAGGATGGTGCGCCACTAAGTGTCGCGGGCTTCCTTGGACTTTACAGTGATGCGAAATACTCCATCCGAGGAAAGACGAGCAGACCAAGTAAACAACAAGCGTAGTCTGAAACTCGAGAATTGAATCGACGGATACCGGATACATCTCACTTATCTTGAGCCATTTTTCGGATCAATGCCGTGTATATTATCACACTGTGATCACTTTCCAGTCACTTGGACCAAGACGACTTGCGGACATGGAGCACAAAAGGACAGTATCAGGCGACAAGCACATCCCGGTAGTGGACCGGCTCTAGTTACATAAGAATCTTACAAGCCATCGAATCATGTTCCATATTAGATTGAATGAATCCCAGACCATATCCACAATTCCTTCCCTGCTATTTACGAAAATGTCCACCAGTTATAGTATTTCCCTGTGGGGCTATATCTGAACCGCACTATGATAATCATTGGACAACAGATTTGACTCAGGAAAGTATCCGCCACAATACTCTGAGAGAGACAAGGATCATAGAGACAGTAGTTCAATTAGTTTTCTGTTTGCCGCGATTGGCAAGTAGTATTCCATCTAAACAGAACTATCCGCCATCCTCATTTCAATTAAGCCCTCTCCAAACGGCGGATAAGCTTCGAATGTCACTCGAAGCCCAGCCAAGTCGGCCATTTGATGCCACTCGATCGAGCTTCTCTCCCGACCGCCATACAAGGCAATCATAGTGGCGTGCATCTTGGCGTAATTGACATTCTTCGCAAATTCATGAATCAGTAATCGCGAGTGAGGAGCCATAGCCTCCGATATCTTCTTCAACAGGCGCACGGCTTCGAGGTCGGGGAGGTTGTGAAGAATATGAGCCAAATGGTAAATCAGCGCCCCCTTGATCGGTTGGGGACTTTCGTCCTTGTAATTCCACGTGGCCAGGGTGATTCCAGGGATATCGGTGATATCATGATTGAGCTCTTGGACGATCAGGTCCGAAGTCTGAAGCTGGGGAAATGCTGCCTTGAAATCGAGCAGCATCTCCCCGCGACCTCCGCCGATGTCCACCATAGTCAGCGGAGTGGTCGCTTGTGCATCGTTAAGAACTGATTCTAGATCGTACCCTAAGGCTCGGATGCGGTCTGGGGCGGTATTTGTCTTCATGAACTTGCCCACCATGAAATGATTAAAACTGTCCATGCGGCTTTCTGCAGCCATAATAGAATAAGTATGTTCCTTTGCAAGTTCGTCTTGGCCCATTGATTTGTAGGCAAACTGAAACGGTGTCTCCCGCTCTTTAAATGGATACTGAAAGTTCTCTGTTTCGAGTTTGCGCATCAAAAATGCACCGCCAAGAAGGGCTTCCGTTGTACTACGAACAGTTAGCCACAGTACATCCCGCCAGTAGACACTAGGAACCGAATCAAGGATCAGATCTTACAAGTGCACAGCTCCATGTTGAGCTGAAGGAGTGACAGCCAGATGCTTGGTTATGGCATTGGCACGGTACAGATTCTCTCCGGCAAAATCAACAAAGCCCAAACCGGACATGGCATACAGCGTGTCCTCTAAGCCGCAAGAAGTTAACGTCAATTCGACAAGCTTTGTCTACATGAAGGGGGGTCTCACTAATCAAAAGTAAACCTAGCACAGGTGTAACAAATCAGAGCTATGCCGTTCATCTGGAGGAGACAAGGTACATGCATGGTACATCCTGTCCTTTTTTCCCATCGGACCGATCTTGGAGGGCCGTCAAGACATTTTGTCCGCTCACGGGCTTGTCAAGATCTGCCAAGAGATCGAACAGTTGAAAACGAACCGCGACAGGAACAAAGCCAAGGGCAGCAGCCTAAATAGCCAAGCATGAGTATTACACACCGTCTTCCGGGGAACCTCAACCGACCGAGGTCGCTGTACTTGCGAGTACAGCAGCAGCAGCAGGCGAAGACATGATGCTTGTCGGAGGAGAACTAGCGGGGTGCTGCTGCAGATGCTCCGGCGTGGAATTGATATCTTTATCACGATCCCGCAGTGTGTGTGGAGTTATCCCATTGCTTTTACCTCCTTCCGAATTCGAAGCATCCTTGCACTAAATACACATTAACAGTGCCAGTTGCGCACTAACTTAGGCCAGTTTCAACATAATTAAACCTACAAGGTTGAGTTTACCTGATCCCTGCTATCACTTTCACGCCATGGGATACTAGTATTCACTATCGATTTAGTGAGCTGTGCCGCAAATTGTCTGCCCCTCATTATCATGACTATTTGCCGCCATTACGGCTCTGGTGATAATCACTTCTGCGGCCGGTTCTACATCCCATAAAATGACAAGAGGGTCGAGGGCAATCCCTTGCTAAGACAATTAATATCTCTGAGTCGTCTAGGTGGTGGCATGCACGAGGCTTTGTATCTTCGTGGTTGGTGTACGTTATTGGGCAATTCGAACAGCACATTCGTCCGGCCGCGTGGCGTCTCTTGTGGGTAATTTCCTCCTGATAATTTTCCCGCTTTCTAGTCATGCTGAGTGCCTTGTCAGACTTATATCCTATCCTTTTTCTGATCCTGCAGTACAGTTGAGTCCCTTTGGACGTTTGATCTTGCAGAACGTCTCATCTGCCGGGTTGGCCATCATGAGTGAGCCCAGATATGAAGACTCAGCCATTGCAGGCGAAAAGCTCAATATGAGTACGGATGTTACTCAATCAAAAGTAGAAAGTCATGTCACCGAGATTGATGACGAAGATGGTCGAGATCCTCGAAAATGGAGGCCAAGAAAGAAGTTTCTTGTGTTTATCGCACTCATGTCAAGCTCTATATTGGCTGATGGGTACGTTGCTGTCCGGCAGTACGATTCACATCTCTATCAGATGCTGATTGATCCGGAAATAGGGGAATGACTTGGGGCGCAACTTTGATCGTGCCTCAAGCATTGGAGTGGGGGGTCAGCGTTGATCATTCCGCGACCAGTATGAACTACGGCATCTTGTTACAGGGCGTTGGTGGTCTGATAGCCATACCATTGATAGAGGCATATGGACGGTATGTCCTCATCCAGTCCATCAGCAGCAGTAACGATGTGAACTAACACCACTAACAGTCTCCCGGTGTGGTTGTGGCCGCAGTTCATCACCACGTTCATGGTTCTTGGAGCGACTTTGTCCAATAACTATAGCACCTTCACTGCCTTTCGCTCTCTCCAGGGTTTCTTTGGTACAATCCCACAAGTTGTTGGTTTGCCGATCATTCATGACATTTATGAGCAGAAGGGTATGCAGATTTCGAACTCCTTCAACCCAATTCGACACGGCGGTAGCTAACAATTCATCCCAGACTGGCCTCAGATGATCAACATCTGGTATGGTCGGACATCGACACGTTTAAATCGGAGTCTACTAACTGACTTCCAGGGGTACTACCTTCCTGATCGGACCCTTTCTAGGCCCTGCCCTGGCCGGATATATCGGTGCCGGCAGCAATTGGAAGGTCTCGTTTGGTATTCTGACGGCCTTCTATGCGCTGTCGACGATCCTGATCTTTCTCTTCGGACGTGAGACTTACTATGCAAGGGGACAGCAGTGTCAGCGTAATTCGCGCCTGCAGTTGATGTTCGGTATCAGGACCTGTCGGGCGCACTCTAGCCTACTGGACCAAGATCCTTGCCATATACATCTTTAAGCTCCCGCTTCTGCTGACCGGAATTGCAACAATGGTCAACTTTTGCTGGCCGATCGGTGGGTTCTTATTTTCGCAACATAAAGGTATATCTGACAGTGATGCTAGGTATAACCGTGACTGTTTCCACATTTGTTGCGCAGCCTCCCTACCTTTTCGATACAGTCCAGTCGGCATCACTGCGGTGGGCCCCAATCATCGGAGGCTTACTTGGTGAGCTGCTTCACCCGAATCTGTGGTCGGTGTTCTGACCCTGATAGGATATGCCTTTGGCTATTGGTTTAATGGCTGGATCGAAGAATCCCATCAGCAGAAGTGGCGTCCCGAGTACCGACTTCATGGTGTCTGGTTTGCCGTTGGAGTCATGGCTTGTGGACTGCTGACATACGGCATGACCCTGAATTACCGTAAAAGTTGGATCGGTCTCGCCTTTGGCTGGTTAATGGTTGTGTTTGGCATGATCTCGAGTACAGTGTGAGTCTGCCATTACCGACAGCATTTACTCAGTCAGCTAATTACTGTAAGCAACAGCTCGATCACGGCATACAACCTCGAGAAATATCCCGACCAGTCAACAGTAGTCCCAGCCATCATCAATGCCTGGCGTACAGCCAGTGGCTTCTCTGTCGGATACTTTCAGCCTTCCTGGATCGTCAAAGACGGGACTGCGGCGGTTTTTGGAACACAGGTAGCGGTAGTCGTTGCGGTTCTGATCCTCACAATCACCCCTGTCATAGTCATCGAAGGACGGAAAGCTAAACCCACGATGGGTTAGGCAGGATTGATGGCAGAGATTCTTCGGTCCTTCTTAAGATTGGCTGTTTGTTGACTCATTTGAAGTCTAAATAATAAAACACTTGTGTCTATTTGGAGTCGTATAGAGCCCCGCCGTCGTGGACTGTCGACTTCTCAGAGCATATCCCATGTGGCAAATGCATCATTGGGTGTATTGTACCACAAAGCAGCCTGTTCCAAACTATCATCCATGAAAGCGTCGTTGAATAGGCTGTCATGGGTATCTTCAATAGACCAGGAAAAGTCGTTCCATTGCCATCCATTTGGGACGGCACTTGTGCCCTCTACGGCAGTAGGCAGCTGATAGCCAACCGGATCCTGTAGCAAAGCAGCGGATACATTATCTTGCCTCTGAGCTTGAGAAGAAGCTGCCATTGGGGACAATGTTTTCGCGTTGGACGCAGTCGTTTGGGTGGACTTCACGTTCCGACGGATATGCAGCCTCCCAAGTAGAGGAACTTGCAAGGTCAGTGTCTGCCCAGAGGCAGTGTCTTCTTCCTGTCGTAGAAGCTGATTAAGGGCACACAGCGTATTAAAGGCTTGTTCCGCAAACTCAAAGCCCGTGGGGTCCTTGGATCTCTGTCCCATCATCTTGATTACTGCGGCAATCACGCCCTGAATTTGACTGGTGTCGACATGAAAACTACGCCGGTCCGTCGGAAAGGTGTTGCGGGACAAGAGCAAGAGAACTGCTGTAGCAGTGAAAGCTTGCAAGTCTATTACTCGTCCGACGAACATGCCTGGAGGCAGTTTTCGTCTGATGAAAATATAGCGCCTTGCCACGGCATCGCAAGCGTCCATGCAGGGTAGCCGACTATACAAATATTCCTCTCGCGAATCTTGACGCAAGGCCATGGGAAGGTATACTCGCATCAAGATTGTATAGTGAAAGAATTGCACTATTTGGGTAGCGTTGACCGGCGATGCCTCGTTGACAAGCCACCATGTGCTGGGCGTCTGAGCAGCAAGGTTGCCCAGATCCCGAGCCATCTCCAGAGCAGTCATGTGGAGTTCGAGCGCCGGTCCCTGACTGGCACTTGATTCATCTATCTCATGTATTCGAACAGCGATATCCAGCAGCTTCGTGCAATACACATGGGGCTGAACAACGCCGTCGACGATAAGCTGTAGGCTGGGCGAGGGTTGGTAGCGCCGAGTATCAGGTGGTAGATTCAAAATCATTCCGGACAGTCTTTCAATGTTGCAGAGCAATTCCCAAAGTTGAGCCATGCGGTAGGAATGCTGGTCATCGGTCCTGGTGATCTTGTCGAGCCGAACTGACTGATGTATTCGAGGCAAGCCCATCAGCTCTGCAATGGCGATGAGCCGCCGTATTGTCAACCACGACTTCTGAAAGTTTCCTAGACCGAGATGACTACGGAATCAGCATCTGTTCATGTCGCTTGACGAAATCATAGGTGCGAATCTCACAGTCGGGCATAATGTACGGCCATCCCGAGTCCTTCTCCCGTTGCGAGCAATCGATCGTGACACAAAAGTGTACTCTCCATGGTGTTTGTAATTTTTCGACAAAGACCAGATCGCTTCTGGCATTTCCTGAGCTGATCTTCACGATTTTCGGTCTCTTGAGGAAGTTGTTGGGCCGTGATCGCCAGCGCTAGGAGCCACGATGCCAGAGTAACGATGTTCACATCAGGAGAACACATCTCATCGTACCTGACGACGAGATCTTGCTGTGAGACAACCGTGCAGGGTTGCGGTAGGAGGGTATGTAACATGGTCAGCCAATCATATGAGGACCCTGCAATCTCAATCACCTCATCCTTTGGCGGGATTAAACTCTGCAGTCGAGGCCTCACGAGACGCGAGAAGTGTGTGGAGACTTTTCCTTGCGCTTTGTTTTCGTTTTGCGAAGTGTCAAAACTGAGCCAGTCATTTTGGAAGAGTGAGCGCAGATGGGATGGACGATCCGTCATGGGAAAATCCGACCCGCTACTTTCGACATCGGACTCTTGGGCATCAGGAGCTTGAACAGTGTCAGAGTTAATTACCTGGGACGGTTCGCTCCCAAGCTTGACTTCGAGACTGTTGACAATTTTTGTGAGCTGAGTGACCTGAAACTCCAGCTGTGTAATCCTTTTTCGAGACGAGAACCGTGCTCGAGAGGACCTCAGTCTGGTCGATGACTGGGCAACGCAGGCGGAACCTCGCTCTTCACATTGCCGACACGACTTAGCATCGTCGGAGATTCGGACGCATCGAACCTTACGGCGTCTGCCTGCCTTGTTGATTAAAACAGATGAAATCTGGATGAAGTTGTCATATACCTGCTTACACTCTGTGCAGCTTTTTGTTCCTTTCCGCACCGCGGTAAGATCGCTTTGAGGACTCGACATTGTCGAAGCAACTGACTGCTGTTACTGTTTGTGATAAATCATCGGACGATACAAAAGTTTCCTCCGTGCGTTATCTCCGAGATGATGTAGTTGAAGGTAGGGAGACGGGGAGCTGAAGAGGCAAGTGTGTTGTTCGGTCGCGGACGAAATTTTGGGCCGCGGACGAAAGTGCGAGCCGACAGCGCCACCCCTGTCACCTGATTGGCTTCTCTTTCTGTCATCCCAAGGCTTCACCACGCAGGAGCCCAACCAGGTTGTTGCAATAAGGGTTTTATTACGAGCTAGATGGGAGCTAAACGATGGATAATGACAATCGTTCGCGTTGTCAGGACCCAACTCGCCGAGAAACCGATGCTAGTCCTTGATCAGCATTTGGGGCCAAATATATATTCACTGAGTGACGGGGACACTGCTTGGACATAAAAATTTCAACGTCAATCTCATCAAAGGCAAGGCTCCATATCGACGAGACAGCGTCAACCATGCTGCTTGACAAACGAGGAGGACCGTATGCGTCTCCCAACGCTGGACTTGGGGGTTTACCCAGTGTCATCCCCGACGTTCCCATATGTGCCGTCTTTCTGGCCCTCTACCTCGGATTTGCAGCTACAAACATGACCATCCTCCAGATAAATGGTCGCAGAAGCCACAAGTTCCTGATTTCGGGGATGTTATTTGGGTTTTGTATGGCGCGGATTACCACCCTAGTCTTGCGCATCGCCTGGGCCAATCGACAGCATAACGTCCGACTCGCTATTGCCGCGAATATCTTTGTCAATGCCGGTGTGCTTCTCGTATACATCATCAACTTGATTCTTGCACAGCGTATCCTCCGAGCGAAGCAGCCTCGAATCGGTTGGAATCCTGTTTTGCGGATCGCATACAAGATCTTATACGCGCTCATCGCTGGAGCCTTGATCATGGTCATCACGGCTACTGTGGTCAGCGTCTATACCCTCAACAAGCATACGCAATCGCAATGTCGCGATGTCCAACTGGCAGCCATAACCCTCCTTCTCGTCATTACCTGTCTTCCTATCCTGCATATCCTCGTTGCGTTCTTGTTTCCACGATCCGAACAGGAGGAATCATTCGGGAAAGGAAGTATGACCAGCAAGGTCATCATCGTGGTCCTATCATCTGCGCTGTGCATTCTCATCGCGGGTTTTAAGTCTGGCGCAAACTGGAGTGCACCTCGACCAGTCACCAACCCACCCTGGTTCGATTCGAAGGCCTGCTTTTACGTGTTCAACTTTGTCCTCGAGATCCTTATTCTTTTTCTTCTGACCTTCAGTCGGATCGACAAGCGATTCCATATTCCAAATGGATCTACGGAGCCTGGTCACTATACTCGTCTCGGACTGCAGTTGGATAAAGGAGCGGAACAGGATCGGGCTCTTGCTTCTGTTGAGATGAAAAATAGCGCTGACATGGGGCGGATGTCAGAAATGGGTCAATAGAGTGAGCGGTATTAAGATTGTAATATTAGAGCTTTAACGACATCTCCATATTAATACTGATGATAATCAAGAATGTAATTCAAATGCAATTCACCACATCTCATACTGTCTTTCAACAAGGTCATAGAACAAGTTTAATGAATGAGAGTCTTTGTTTGAACTGCATAGCGCTAAGCAATAAGGACCGTTCGGTTCAATGTCTCCATAAATGGAAAAGGGCCAGCCTACACGACGCAGTCAGCACCACTCTCTCCATCGATGATAAGACAAGGCCTCTTACGCCAACCAAGGAAACATGGGCGATGTTGAGTTGCGCCTTCCCTTTTCCGATAGACTCGGGAATATTCACGCTGAAGTTTTGATAAGGCGGCTGGCTGGATTCATGATACTCTGGCTTGAAGGGACCGTTATATAGAATAGTGCCCATGACATCTTCCGGAGCATAACACTTGGAGTCCGCGCAGGAAGATAGACCAATCGCAACAGCTATTTCCTGAGACCCTGTGAGGGAGTTCTTGAAAACATGTACTCAGCTGCTATCCTTATGTCGTAGGCTGTCAAAAACATACCGGTCTTTGAATCTGTACCACAGTCGAACTTCCGGGCGTCAAGTTCTCTCCTGCGGAGGGCAAACCGATGCCGACGTTTTGGGCGGACGCAGTCGCCGCAAGAAATAAAATGAAGTAAGGGACCTTCATGATGAAAGATATGGATTCTACGGAATCTGGTGTGCTGAAGCTAAAAGCGACAATGAGTTTGCTGTTTCCTGCTAGATCAGTTTGAAGCAGACGGATTGTTAATGGTTCTTATAGTCCGCAGGATATCAGGTTGTTGAATTTGCATATACATCCAAGCATCGAATATGTAAAAATAAACAGGAAGTCATTCGATGAGTCTCAGCATGTCTCACAATTTGAGGCCTCCTGCAAAGCTACCTTGCACAACAGATGTCCCAATTGGGAAATCTGTGCTGAAGATCCGACAACATGAGGTCACTCACTTTCGTCACCAGGGATCACGTGGTCCATCATGTCCTGATCGCCGAATGTTCTCATTGTCTGTCTTGACCAGCTTAGCTATAGTTAATATCGGGGGCCTAACTAATGTCAGCGGGAAGATGGACGTTATAAATAAAGTCCAATTCAGAGATTGGTTCTGAGACATGCACCAGCAGACCACAGAGAAGCATTTTACAATCTGATTGGATCGAATTCCGAAGAGAGTTCGTCTACTGAAGTACTCGCGCGTTCGAATCCCAGTAGCGCAAATTCTTTTATCTTTTTCTCCTGGCCTCTTAGCCGATCAACCTGCTCTTATTAGACAGACACTCTCCAGTAAATTGAGCTTCTTTTCCTGCAGGACTGAAGCCTTTTCGCGTGTTGACCATGCCTTATGCTAACGTATATCTACATCTACACACCTGTCGAGTGTGTCCTCTACTAGACATGTTGGAAAACCACCGTGGAGTTCACTGAATCAGACTCTAAGCCATGAATATCAGGATGAGCACTGAGATAGAAGATCGTTCAGCATACTGGGCAAACCTTGCGCCATGGTGTCGATATGACCTCTTGACAGGTCTTAGGGCTCCAAGCACCTGATACGCATCTGTGAGATGATGTGCCCCCGTCTGTCATTTATATATCCCTCTCCTTGCTCGCACACTCTGGCTTTTGTTTTGGTTGCTTCTACAAAATATTTCAATGTATCTAGGCTCGGTTTGTAAGTACGTTAGCTTATAGAGACGGCTCCAAGGCGCCGCTGTACAGGTATGAATGCCACTCCTGCCCCTCCTCCTACTATCTTGCAATATTGGAATGCTCTTTTAAGCATTGGACACGCCTTAGCACAAAGAAACCAGTGCTGAGGGTGCCTCGACGAACACACAATATCTCTTAAGTGCTTCTGCCCTTATCCTAAATGAAGGACATAGCCTTAGTTAGGATATCATAGTTACAAGTCATGATAAGAAGCGGCGCCAAGTCGCACTCATAGATTGATCGACTTAGTTTCGTTTCTGATCCTGGGAAATCATATCTACAACTATGGTGAACAATGAGTAGCCACAGCTCTATCAGTCTCACATACTAGACTCAATAAACCATCCCTGAACTGACCTCGCCGAGCATGGTTGACTGAGGAGATAGGACGTAATTCTCCTGATGAGTAGAAGGTGAAATGAGCCAAAGTCGGTGAACGTCTTCATCGGAGCCCCCTCAAAATATGCTTTCTTACTGCGGCGAGTCCCTCGCCGACATTATGTCAAATTGGTAGCGCTAGCCCATCTTGAATACAGGAGACAATTCCCTGAGGTCCTCGCTCATTGCGTATTTGCAATGATATTGCCAGGCTAACAATTCGGCCCCTACTTTCTTCCAACTATACTACCTTGCTTCCTGGGATCTGAGTCCAGAGCAAACTCAAGCAACTTCTTCACAAATTTGCCAGTCCCAGGAGAGAGATCTCTGTATGGCTAATCTCACTTAAATCATCGTGTCTGCCTTGTTAATGCCGTGTTTCAAAGTTGTTCGTTTCATCAACTACGGCGTCCGCGGCTGCCGACGGCTTCGCGATGGACCCTGATATTTTGGCCCCTTGGCAGGGCTATGGAGGGCTGAGTCGTAACCATGCAATCCTTCAACTTCCCAAAAGCCAACATGTTGGTTGATTCTTATTAGGATAGAGGATGGCTATTGGGAATTATTGTACCGTTTTGTGTCAGCCTTGGGAATCATGGGGTGATTCAGGCACCTACATAAAGCTTCGGCAATGGCCTTCATATATCCATCTATTTCCGTTGTCAAAACAGAGCGAGTGTCAAAGAGTCGTTCACTATATTTATTTCTTTTTCTTCAGAAATAAATTATGGCTGCCCTAAATTTATTCTCCCGGCTCTCCTCGCGCCGCTCAGATTCGCTCAGTGACACAACCCTAACTGAACGACGGCTTTCTGACCTTTCCAGTAAATCTCTACATACTTGCTACGAGCCCAACCAAAAAGCTCCTCGCCGCTGGGTTGTGAGCTTCAAATCAACGCTCGACCCTAGAATTGTGGGCAAGAAGAAAGCCCGCAGAAATCGTGTTTTTGTTGTCGTCGCACTTGTCTTCGCTCTGGGTGGTATTGCTGTACTGTAAGTATTACCCTTATAAGCAGGGTCCCTCCTACTGACACTTTCAGGGTGTGGTTCTCACTTGTCCTCACATTGATCGATCGACTCACACCTACTGTCCCATCGAACGGACTACAGAGAATCCTCAAGACATGGAAAGGCCCGGCAGACTCAGTCGCCGCACTATCTCCCTGGCCAGACGACTTCAGCCAAGGCATAACACCGGTCCAATGCCACTCTCACAACGACTATTGGCGCTCAGTGCCTCTATACGAGGCGATCGCAGCAGGCTGTACAGGCGTCGAAGCAGACATTTGGCTGGAGGGCGATGATCTGCTCGTCGGTCATCGGAAGGGCTCTCTATCCCCTGATCGTACACTGAAGAGTCTCTATATCGACCCCTTGACAACAGTCCTCTCCAACTTGAACGCCAATTTATCCACCAATAGCTCCGTGGGCATATTCGACGTCGACCCCACAGCAACTCTCACTCTCCTGATCGACGTCAAAACGGACGGAAATGCAACTTGGCCGGTCCTCCTCGATCAATTAGCTCCTCTACGCTCTGGAGGATGGCTATCCCACTGGAATGGGACGAGCGAAATCCTTGTCCGTGGTCCTCTCACAGTCGTGGGAACCGGAAATACGGTATTTGACTTGGTGGTGGCAGAGGAAGATCGCTATGTTTTTTTCGACGCGCCGCTGGACGACCTTGCTCAGAACTCCACCTACACGTCAGAAAACAGCTATTACGCCAGCGTTTCGCTTAAAAAGGCCGTCGGCGTTGTATGGCCCTGGGGACCAACAGATAACCAGAAACAGGTCATGCAGAAGATGATCAGCGCTGCCTCGGAAAGAGGTTTGCTCTCGCGGTTCTGGAGTATTCCATCCTGGCCAGTCAGCCTGCGAATGAGGCTATGGCAATTTCTGGTCGATAGCGGCGTTGCCATGTTGAATGTAGATGATGTGGTTGAGGCGACAAGATGGAACTGGGACTGGTGTATTGTGGCGGGGTTGGTGCTGTGTTGATCCTTGGGGCCGTTTCATTATGTACAGATCTGATAACCTGTCAAATATATGCCAAGATGTTGGTTTCTAGTTCATGTTGGTTACGTTAGGCGAAGAGACTCTAAGCCACATTTGCCAATGACGACTACGGAAGATAGTGATGATCATGATCAATTGGACAAGACAGTGGCCCCAACCTTGATCTATATGAAGAAGTCAAGAATAGAATACCAACAACCATATTTGTCCATGATAGCTCTGAATGAAGGGTCCTGCAGAAGTTGTGTTGCGGTAAGACGTTTTTCTGGGCAGTCAGTAAATGCTCTTTCATAATGGAGTGCAAGAGTCCTCGCTCAATTGGATCAGCGTCGGGAAGATAGTATGCAATTGTGGATGTGAGATCATGATTTGAATCAGGTGTTTTACACTGCTTTACTGTTATAGCTCTGTGATGTGCTACTGTCACAGGTACTCATTTCCTATCTGTAAGAGATGCCAGCGAAGATTTAAAGCAAAAGACCATGACAGAAGAGGAAACCCTATTCAAATGTATCAACACGAACAAATTCTCCTTCATAACTGAAAACTTCCACAGCGTCAACGTCGAATGTCAGACTGATGTCGCCTTTTTCATGTACCGTAAAGAGGCCTGTCGAGTCCGACTGCAATGCCAGAGTAATGACGCCCAGGACATTATCCTTCACCGAGAATTCCAACCGACTGTCTGTTGCGGAGAAGTCCCGGTTGATCTGCGACATCTCCTCAGAGTTATAGAAGACTCTCGGAACTGGCGCAAGCTGGAAAATGATGTTTGACTTGGCAACACCACTGAGTAAAGAGCCTTTGGGAAAGTATGCGCCAAATATGGCAGATTCCGATGCACTCTTGCCTGACACAAGGATAATTTTCGCCGAGCTGGTCATGGACATCCAAGTACCTACTTGCGCAATATCTATGTCCGGAGAGGAATAGAGACTCTTCTGTGCTTCGATGGGAAAGTCTTGGGGCAAGGTCATTGATATCTGACTTAAGAGGGGGAGATTCGTGATCAGCCCCTCAGGAGGAGGCTGTGTTTTGATTGAAGAAGTGAACAGTTCCCTCAGCAGCACCTGTGCGTCTCTAACTGATGATGGGGGCTTCTCAGACGGCAAGGGTTTGACCGAGTGTAAAGGCCCCAAAACTCGGGGGAGTCCCAAGAAAAGGTTTTGCTAATCTGTGTTAGCATGCAATCCTTTTGCCAAACAGAGCAGTCTGATACGCACCAGTGACTTGTCAAGTACTTGATCAAAAGTAGCGAATGATACACCTGTAGAATCCGCTGCACTTCGGTCTTGAAATCCGGTCAACAGGCAGTCTGTCATAGTTTCAACCTGTGATAGAGAGGAGATGAATTCTTCCGGTTCAATACCGGCTACATGCAACTGCGTCAGAAACATCAACCGTAGCAAAGGTCTAAAGTCCTTCAATGGAATATATCCATCCGTCAATGTTGAGTTGGACGATGGAAAATGTTCAGCGGCAGGATATTCAGGCCCTTTGGTCACAGCGGTCGGAAACCGTGGATTGCGCCTGAAATTACCATACGTGATCAGATCTAGCGCTTTCTGAAGATGAAAGTTATCTTCCATATTGCGAGATGTATTGGTAGCAGTTGCTTGCACGTCTGCCATGCTCTGAAACAATAAGGTGCGTTGTGCGGCATTGAGACGATCAGGGTAGATGAGTGACGCTTTGTCGACATCTTGTTGAAGAAGGTTGCCTCCATCTAATCTCAGCAGAATAATAATTCCTGTGCGCAGGACATCCTGCGACATTATACGGTGTGGATCGTTGTGGTATGGAAACGATCCAAGTCGCAGGAGACAGCGATGTAGAATCGGGGCAGCTTCACCGACACACGCTGCCAACGCTGGAGGAAAGGTGCTGATCATGAATTCCTGCAGATCTGAAACCGTCCAGACTATAGAATATTACTCTCACGAAGGGGACCAACGATGAACTGTACGTACATTTCCCCGATTCTGACTTGCTGCAGAAGATATCGAAAATGGTCTGCAACCACTCACTCCTCGCATCATTAAAAAAGTGCCTTGATAGGCACCATTTAAATCTCTCCTGGAGTTCCTCTGGATCCGTCAGTATTCACTGCCATATAGTTAGATGGAGATCACCCTACCGCGAGTTTGAACCGGCGGGAGAAACTCGACAGCAGATTCTCTGGTTGCAGTCTGACCCATAGCTTCAGTTTGACAGTTTTTAGAAAACTGAAAAGAGTCAAAGGCTTTTTTGCTGGGATTTGATGAAAAGGAGGTGGAACTTAAAGAAGTGAGGTATGGAGAGAAGAGAGGGGGAATGATGGTTGATGGCAAGGAGCAAGGATTGAGACCACCAGATCAGGTGACCGGGCGATGATGAAGCGATGTTGGTCGAGTCTGCCTTGTCTTGACGTCTGCATCCACTCTCGAGAATGATTTTCGTCCGTCTTGGTGGGGGAAAGAACCAACTTCAGAAGATCCCTGATGCCGAGCAATTCTGGCCCCATCAACCAACAGAGGCGTTGTTGCCTGTCCGTATCTGAGGTGTATCCAACATCTACAACCTGGTAAATCTGGCTGTGGAAAATGATCGCCAGAAGGTAACCAACATGTTGCAATCTGCGATGACGGGGAGATGCGGCTGTGATGTTTCAAAGCATTGAGGCCGTGTTTTCACGAAGCTGGAATATGTTCCGACATCAACCTAGCATATGATTTCAATTTAAGCCTCTCTCCTCGCCTCTGGTCCTGAGCATCATCCATCATCTCATTCTCCGATTCACATCTTCTCTTTGTAACTGCTATCCAAGATGCGTCTCCAGCTGTTCTCATTCATCTACGTGGCCATTTTTGCCTCTATGGTCAGTGCAACTGGTTGCACCAAATGCCTCAATCAAAACGAGGACAATATCCGTCTCGGCTGCTTCAATAAATGCAAAGAAGCCTTCAACCCCAGCAGCACCGAATACCGGGTTTGTCGCGATCAGTGCACCGAGTTTGTCTTTCAGGACCACTGCTGTACTTCTTCCTGCAGCAGCAAATCTGACGTCTGTCTGAATGACTACTTCCACCGCGTGGGCCTGACCAAGCGCGACTCGATAAACGAAGAAGCCTATTATCGATCTCAGCTAGATGAGATTCGAGAAAATCCCGATCTACTCGACAAACGAGCGCTGCTGGTCGGGGAAGCTCCGTACCATCTTATCCGAAGCACGGAGGATTTACACTCACTCAATCATCCAGACTTCAATGAGACTATCGTGTATGATATGAGAGAGCATAGCGGCCCAGGGGCTCTGGATCGTCGGATTGACCAGGGCCAAACCTGCTGCTGGGCCGCGGGGGCGGTGCTTCAAAAGGGAATGTTCGAGATAGGGACAGCATGGACAAGTAATGACTGGACCGACGAGCAGCGCCAAGGACTGGTGCTCGTCAGCTTTGGGGTCGCGGGAGCATATGCTTGCAACTATGTTTACAATGTAAAATGTCTCATGTTCAATGCCAGGCCAGCGCCGCAAATTTGAAGTGAAGGCAGTTCAGGTGATCTGGGGATCTTGTTGGTTTCATATTGCAGTTTCATTTGACTGGTTATAAGTTTCTTTGTTAATTTTTTATTGTGGCTGTACTTGTGTCATGATCATCATTGTCGACTTGTAAGAAATTAACATCTGGCCTTGCTAAGCTATATATTAAGCCCCCGCCACCCCTTCTTAGTGCTTGGTCTCCATTACTTATTCTACTCTCCCCAAGTCTTAGGAAACTTCGGCTGAGTTTATTTATACCAAGCTGTCAACTCTCAAAGCATTTGGACTTCACTTCACCATGGAGCAAGAATCGTCGACACCACTGTATCTTCGACGGGCTCTAGCAATCACCCTTGCGCTCACTGCACTCCGTCAACTCAAATCCTGCCGTGTATCCTATCTGTTTCCCTTCTCGAATCTTCTCACAGATGAAGTCGACAAAATGTTCGCTTACGCGCTGAATACAAGCACACTGTTCTTCGCATGGTGTATCGCCGAGCCTTCCATCGCCCACCCTATTTTTATAAACCTGAATACATTGCGCTATACCCTGGCCGGTATCATTCTCTCTCTCACCGTATGCGGCGATAGCCCCCTCAAGCGCCTTCTTGTCGGATTCGCAATCGGGGCATGTTGGATCATCGGATGGACGATCACGTCTGCGGAGCAGCGGGCGGCCTATTGGCGGTTCCTGAGAGGCGGGCTGGGTTTCACGCTAATTAATTTGTGGCAGAAGGCCGCTCTTTAGAGGCTCGTTTTGTTTGACGGTCTTCTTGGCGATACATGTCAAGGCGGCTGTGTCACATCTGTTGGTTGTCTGTTCGTAGGCTGAGAGTTATTTTTGGTCGAAATGGTGACAGTGTTGACTTCGGACCCGGGTTGTTAACCGATCTGAGATACTAAAGTTGGTATGGTAGATGCACATACGTGGAATATGAAGGTATGAAGGTCTAGTTCATCAACTCTACAATCTCATACTAGAATTTATAGACAGGAAAGATCGGATCAGCTAATTGGATTTAAATCAGTGGGTTAAATTTCAATATAATCTGTCTCTTATAATCTAACTAGTAAAACTAGAATTCTAGAGTTCTATAAATCCTTTACTAGATTCAGTAACCCAGCTAGCTAGTTGGATTGTTGTTTGCTCTAGCTTGGCCTGGGCCGGTCGTGCCTCGAACCCGCTGGCCATTTTCTTTTCCAAAAGCTGACGATACTATAAAAGTAGTAATCTGTGGGGGTGAATGAATTCAATAGCAACACTGAGGACTGTAGATAGGAACGATCTTGACAGGAAGGATATGTACCCCAGGCACAGCTTCAAACATCAACGGGAAACAAATAAATGAGCAATGAGGTATCAATATCTTTCAAGACGAATTACCCAACAAAGGGTCTCCAGTGATTTCCGCTAATACGAGTCGAATTTGACCGACATGAGACGTCCCTGGTATGTTTGGTCCACTCCTTGAGCACCAACATACAGAAAGTCAATCGGGAAGCAATTCCCCTTGGGCACCACCTTGCCATTTCTATTCTTGTAATAACCATCCTTCTCATTGATGAAATCAATGCGCTTATTCGCAGGGCAACCGGTCTAACGCAAGAAACTTAAGTCTTTTACTCGCGACAAGACCTTGTCAGGGAAAGGTATTCTCCGTACCTCGGAGTAGGCTGTCATCTTGCGCCGCCAGACCAAGCCGGTTCCTCTGCCCAGCCAGATGCTGTTGGTAGACGCGTTGATATCGACGCATGTGCCGGCCTTGATGTCAACATTGCTAGAGGAGCGGTATGCCTTCCCGTCGCCCCAGTTTCCATCGCTTGTCAAGCAGGTCAGGGGGTTGGATTCTAATATAGAAATTGGATGTTGATTCCTACCAGTCATCACTTGTGTATTGGTCAAGCTTGGAGCGAGCCAGTGCATCACTACCCTGGAAGCATAGGCCAAAGGAGGCGAGAAGAACGAGAACAGAGGTGAGCTGCATGTTGATTCAGATTATGAGATTTTGGACACTTCAAGAAATTCAGAAACAAAGATTGATTCTCAGTGATCTCGGAGACTTTGGATGAGATTGTTGGTGGGAATTATGAACGTCGACTGAGATGATGAAGGGGCTTTATATTTTTCTAGCAGTCTTTGGTGAGTAACATGCAACAGTATCACTAAGAAGAGTACACATACAGAAGGATGTACAGCAAGGCAAGCTTGAATTGCATCGTCTCCAACCAACTGTTGAAAAAGATCATAAACATGTGACATGAAACGCCACAAAATGGTCTTAACGATGGTCAGGATGTTAATAACAACAATAACAGATCTTCGTCTCGAATTAGGCGGCAAATCGGTGTCATTGAGCCTGGTTGTATCCGTTGGGTTGGTGTACAGCCTCAGGTTTGGGCCCCAACTGATATAGTTCAGGACGTTTAGTATTAAAGTTATTGATCCTTTCTTGATTGTTGGTTGGAATAATGCCAGAGTAAGAAGCTTCCAAGGACCCCCTGTTGTTGCCGAGGTGTTCTTTGCACCAATTAACCGTGCCATAGCTACGGAAGACATAGCTTTCTGCCTTGTACAAGGAATAGATCAGGCCAACCTCTAATGCGTAATGTGAACTAAACCCTGTTGATGGAGCGAGGCTACTGTTTCAAATCATTGCCTATCTACTCCTACTACCTGAACCTCAACACTACGATACAATACCCCGTGCCATGCCGTCAATTAACATGCAACAACAAGAGACATAGTTGCCTGGACGGGAATCTCATCCGAGACACAACTTCTGAATTGCCCCATGCCCTTTCGTACCATTGAGGGCTCGTCTCTACAGTTGGCTGTTGGATGTCAGTTGAATGTCAGTTGGAGATAATATCATCGAGAAGGCTGAGCAAGGCATATTCTGTCCTGATTTTTTTTCTTTTGATCAAGTTGGCGTCTAACAAATCTATTTCAGGTGATAAAGGCAAGTGCATAGCAGAAAGAAAGACATAAATACGACCGCCACCCCAAAAAGTCAAGCCCATCAACCATCAATCTGTGACTATCATCAACTGTCCGTCTCTTGCAAACTTTCATTGCTCTCAGAGAAATCAGCTTCTCATGATGGGTCCTCTTGCTCAATATCTCATTCCGCTGGCCATCGTGGGCGCAGCCCAGGCTGTGACTGTTAAGGGTTACTGGACCGATAGGTGTCAGTCACCTGGGGGTTCAATTGGAATGTGTACCAACATTCCCGAGAATCATTGCTGTGTCTTTGCGCCTGAAGCACACCCCTTTTCCATTTTTAGTGGAAATACCCGATCTGTTGAGTGGACTCGCTTTAGCGAATGCCAACTGTTGCAATGGTGGAACCCAAATAGTCACCCCGGTAGTGCAAGCGTTGGGACATCAGATTGGAACTGCCATGGGAGTGTGCGTGACACTTTCACAACTGGGGCGCATGTGGCAAACCCAAGACACTGCATGTCGTCTAGTGTTGACCAACCTCCTTTTGGTCAACGCCACGATGGAGCTACATGGTATGTGAATAGACCATCGTCACGAATTTTCACAGGGGATATAGAACTCACTCGGTTTTTTTCTTCGTCCCTTTCAGGATAGATATCATCCATGCGATAAAATCACACGGATACAATGGAGCTTACGTTGATGTCTCCCATTGCTCCCCGCAAAAGGACTACGGCTCGGATCTTGCTGCTTCGGTTGCAGACCTCACCAGGAGCATGCACCTTCCAAACTCTGCAGGGTCAATGATTTTTGGTGCTCTGAGTGGTAGTAGGCGGAAACGTGTGAACGAGAAGCTGGAGCGTCGGTCTGAAATCGAGATCCAGAAGTCACTGACGAAGGTGTTTTACGAGGAACCTTGTAAAGGGGCTGTGTACGCGACTCATTTTGGTCTCACTCCCGGAACGGGCGTCTGGGTTCTGGAAGGATCAAAGGATAACCATGAGCTCCTCATCAAGGCATCAACCGATGCCTCTCCTGGCTGGAACACGAGATTGAAACAGGCCGGTGCTGTCTACTTTGACCATTGTAAGCTCACTCCTACTGAACTCCAAGCCAGGTCGTTTCAATTGACATTTCGGAACCAAAGGGGCGGAGCATCCTGAAATCCGAGAGCACATGATGGATGCTGGACATACATTCACCGAGAAGGATATTTGGGTAGCTAAGGCCAAGCGTTCTGTTGGTGATGAACCAACCGTGGACGATTATATCCCACCTGAGATCTCGATTAAAAGCCGGTCTCCCCCAGCAAATTCCCAATCCGACGAGACTTCCGTGGATGACAGCTTCCCGGCTATTGCTGAGAGGTCTACAGACGTCCCCGAAGATGACAGCTTTCCTTACATCGCCGAGAGATCCACAGACATCCCCGAAGATGACAGCTTTCCTTACATCGCCGAGAGATCTACCGACCAGCTAGAAGATGACAGTTTCCCATGGATCCAATGAAAGTCTGTCTGGTGGATTAGTATCTCTGAATGAGCAAATGATGTGCCCAAATAATGAAGACGAAGAGATGGGGGTCTCTAGGAACTTTAAGTGCTTCAGATTCAGGATTAGAAATGTTCCACAGAATGTTATGTCTGCTTTTTTCAACCATGTGTTTGTTTTCATGTGATCTATTCCTATGTCTGGTTTACTTCAATTAGTCCTAAGCAGGTCATGTTTATAACTTATCATCTTAGCCTTCACTGTAGACTATTCTGTAGCTCGATCCATGATTATAAACTAGCCTGACTCTATTCTGGCACTCCTCCTGGTTAAGCCATTTGACAATAAATCCCTCAAATAAATCATGCTACTTAGCCTGCCTATCATACATCTTTAATTTGTCAGTTGGCATTTACTTCGTGTGTTGGGATATCGGCCATCATGATTGGATCCTGATGACCCAGCGTCACATGTTTCAGGCTTACCACCTCCTATTAATACTCTTTCCCCTCCGCATCATAACCTTTCCTACTATCTCATTCCTACCCTCAAGCATTGCCAAGAATATCTCGCCCGCCCACAGAATTTGATATCTCTTCGAATAGAACAGCCATGGACCCTGCGGTAGAACCTCAAGGGTATCTCGAGTGGAGGCGACTATTTTCCACAGATTTTGAAGCTGCCATCGCCACAGGCAATCCACCAGGCAAAGACCATGTCAAAATGCTATTCATGTGCAACACTGAGTTAATACTATCAAATAATCGTATGACATCTCCTATAAACGAGCGCGTGATCTTCGCCTGGGATGAGGATCAAGGCGTTTGGGTCTTGGAGGCTTCGGAGGAAAGCTGGGAGGCCCTCAAGTTCCTACTCGGACGCGATTTCCTGCACTGGCATGAAGCTTTGGAGAGATGCGGCGCGATCTATTACCAACACTGTAAACACCCTTACTTCTTTGGTCTTTGACTTCTGATGCTGACAAATTGTCGATAGGGCGCGAGTGTCCCTGGAGCAGAGCCGCTGCTGAGCAGGGACGAATCGATGGCGGCCGCAGACCATTTTTCATGGACAAGGCTGGTCTGAAATATAGGTTAAAGGAGTTAGCTGGAGAGAACAAGGAAGAGCAGGCCTCAACACATAATGTAAAAGATTGATTTGAGTGCTTGGTTATCTATCTTGCCTCCTTACTATACTGTCCAATCTTGTGTCCTGTGCACAGGCGCTAGAAATAAATCTAAGCTGCACTATCATGCTATTTATGGAAGTTTTTAATGGTTGGATAAGGTAGCCTGCTAAATGATAATTCATTACAATAGCTACATAGAATAGAGAATTCTATCTTCTTTAGAGATCCTTTAAATGATCTAGTTAAATGATTGAGCTCTACTTATCCTTATTATCCCCAAATTCTATCCATTTGAGGAATCCTGATAGTGAAGATATATGTGCATATATGTCATACAAGCCTAAGTAACGGATAGAGCTACTTCAGTGATGCCACTAATACTAGTGAGCGCAAGTAGAATGAATGAAGCCAAAGCCATAGGATATACTTTGCATAAGAGATCATATTTTCATTGCAAACCTGTATATTAAGCCAGTGAATAGCGTCTCACTCTACACTGTGTTCAATCCTACCCACAACCCACATAGAGTACGATAAGGTTTAAAAGCCTTAGAGATATTAAGACCTTATACTAACCCCTGGGTTATATCCCCTCTAATTTCTGCTTTATATATATCTTAAAATTTGGGCTATATATGCCTTTATACTCAGCTCTCTGCAGATGATTAGAGGCCGAGCAAGCACGGCTGATGATCCTTATAGGCTTATAGAATGCAATGTTGCTCCAAGTTCTATATTCTGTAGAGCTCTTTTCATTTTTCGACTTTGTTACACTTAAAGTAATCTGTTTCTTCCATATGTCTTACCTTATACCAGTTCTTACATCGATAACAGACCAGGATGTTTTTGAGGGTAATCATATAGTATAAAAGAGTGTGAGCTCTACTATGATTCAAGCTTTATAAAAGTGTCCTCCCTGATCCATAATAGATTTAGGGATTCTATAGGGTATACTGGTATACTTTCAAACCCTGAATCCTGCCCAAGACGCGCAAGCAAACCGAAAGCTCGCCCCAGATCAACTGCCAACTGATTGTAATGCCGGGTTGCCTTGTGCATAATACTTTATAAAAGGATCTCTGTATATTGACAACGGGTTTTTTTTT